CCTGGGTTCAATTCCCGAGCGGGAAGAAATATTCGTATGATCTACATTTATTTCTCTCCTAAGTTTGTTTGTAGTTGTCTATGTATGTCTCCATGGCTCCGGCATAGTTTCGTTTAAAAATATTTTTCACATCAATATTTTGTAATAAGTATTGAATTATTCCGTAATCCATATTCGCCGTTTCTGCTCACGTTTTTGGGCAGAAATGGATTAAAACCAGATGTTTGTTTAAAAACCGGGGTGGGTTGATTGACTTTCAACTCACTGCCCATCTCTGCCTACGTATAAGGTCACATTGTCTCTTTGGTATTTGCATACCCAATAAAAAAATTGTAATTATCAGATTTTATTTATTGATTAAAAATACAAATCATTATTATTTGACAAACATATTGATTGGCTCAACGTTTTTAATAAACAAACATAGTTATAATTATTGTAGAGCTTCTTGTCAAAGAGTTCTTACAGAGAAGTACCTTACCTACTTCTACTTCCAAGCAGTAATGAGAGCATTATTCCGTTCCGCTTCGGAAGGGCAAAATTACAGGCAGATGGGACTTGTCAACTATGTATCAGGGTGACGGGCGCAGTAACAGTGCCATAAGATGTTTGCGATATAAAGTTCTGAGTGGCACTGCAAGTGTACCAGACACACGACTTGTTAATTCCGTCATTTGGTGTTATAAAAATGTTATAAAATACAATACAATACAATAATTCTTTATTGTACACCAAAAAAGGAAACAAATACAATACAATTAAATTACTCGTAAAAATAAGCGGTGGTACAATGGGCGGTCTTATCGCTTCAAGCGATTTCTGCCAGACAACCTTTGGGTGGAAGTAATTATATAATTCACAGGAAAAAGACAGCGGTATATGAGGAATTACTAATCAACAGATAAAAATTGATAAATAAATGCAAATAAACATATATTTATAAATAAGTAATGAAACCAATACATATATATGAATATCGTAAACTACTATATATTCTTATACCTATAAATATGAAATTTCTAAAACGTAATTTCAAAACTTAAAAATACCTAAGCAGTCCAAGTCACACTAAATTAAGTTAGTGTATTTTTACCATATTTTTGAATATATTCAATGATTTCGCTTGTTGAATAAACAAAGGTAAAGCGTTCCACAAACGAATAGCCTGAACAGTAAAGTATTATCCGATTGCTTATTATGCATGTATTTCGAAAACTCAAAGAAAGTACACTTAATTATTTTCCACGACTAATTGTAGCTATTGTCACGAAGCAAAAGTAAAGTATTATCCCTTTTTACATTCCAGTGCACAGCACTGCTGGGACAGAACGGTGCGGGCAAATCGACGACGTTCGCCATGCTCACTGGCGAAACGCGACCGACTACTGGGCAAATATACCTCAACGAACAACCGGCCAACCATTTACAACTCTGTAAAGGCCTTATCAGTAAGTGCTGGCTAAGGTAAATCACAGTACTTTCGACCGACGAATCAATAACGTCTGTGACATCGTTTTAAACCGCCAGTACTACGTATACTCTATAATATATGAGAGACTTGGCCCGCAGCGTCTCTGATTTCAAATGACCTCATATTTTTTACTAATTTTGATCATCATTTACCTCACTCTGGTCACATGTGCGTTGGAAGCTTCCCCTTTATGAAATTTCTCGAACTCATAAGTTACATCTTTCACCGTTAAGCAAGTATGAGAAAACAAACTGTACGTTACTCGAAAATTACTATTAAGTAGAGCAGATCTCAATGAAAATCGAACACAGTACCTATGTTATATTAAGGAAGCGTTTTCTCAATCCATCCACATATCAAAAAACATGCCCGTTGTCTTGAAAATATTTATAGTGAACGCCTACTTACGTAAATAGCTAAGTTTCGCACAAATTTTATGCTCGTAGTTTTTAAACAGGCGCTTCTTATCTTGTCGATGGCAAAGACAATGTTTGCCAATGCCATCGTGTAGAAAGGATTTGCCAATCGAAGTAAGGTTCTGATTGTTGCCCAGCTTGCGCCAAACTTACAAGAAAACGGTACGGTACGTCGAGCGGGGAGGCTTCTTTCGTGTACCCCACAGGCGCTAATCGTCAAATAATTATGTTCCTGCAAAATAAATATGATAATTACTGCTTTATCGCAGTTTATACATTTTTATAATGTATTATTAACTATGACCTTCTACCTCAAGGTCAATAACCCGTTGCACGAAAGGCGGCCGTAAATATGACCTCATAATTACCGAACGTAAGCTAAACGTATATAAAAATATTATATCAAGGATCTTCCCTGTACAGGTTATTGTCCTCAAACTGACGCGATAGACCCTCTGGCTACAGTACGGGAGACACTGCAGTTCTATTGCAGACTGAGAGGAATAACGGACATGAACGAGGTTAGTTTGCCATACCATTTAGTTATTTTTAGATGATTGCCAAAACATGATTGGGGGTATTTGTAAATTATAACGATGATTTTAGTGGAGGTAGTGGGGCATAAATAAGTCCAACCGTGCTCGTCCTTCGGGCGAGCGAACAATCAACACCTCTCGAGGATATCTTATAAAGAGACGAAACACGTGTCAAGTATATACATTTTTAGTGGTGGTATTTGTGACTCGTGTAAACTTTGTTAATAAGCGAAAATTTTAACAACTTTTAACTGATGCTCAATTGATGAGCATTTAAGTTATTTATTAGTAAAAATATATTATGAAATTAATTCAGAAGGATTTTAATATCTAAATTGTCCTTTAGGTAATTCGAGTGCTAATAATAATTAATCTTTAATTTACTAAGCACTTTGTATTAAATTATCAGGTAATTCGTCGAACATTGGAAATGTTCGAGTTAAGTAAATACGCGGACGTGCGAAACGGAACCTTAAGTGGCGGCAACAAGAGGAAATTATGCACAGCCATTGCGTTCATGGGCAGGACGCCTGTGGTGCTGCTCGACGAGCCCACGAGGTAAGTTGAGTCATATACTAAATCTATGGTTGAGTCAGTACGTCAGTAAGACTTTATTTAACTAAACTCGTGTAATTTACTGTTGTTTTAATATTTACTAAAAAAAATTATTAGTAAACGTATAAATGATTAGTGTATAAACATATATAATAGTGTGTAGACGATTGTTATCTATTGTTATTGTGTGTAAATCTTATCCTCTTTTCTGGACCTTTTATAAATACAAACAGCTGCTACGCGTGTATGACGTAGCCGTACTCGTCTTACCACACTGCGTCAGGGCTCCATCACTTGTTTAAGGTTATGCGATAAGTGCCTACCGCTAAGTGTGCCGACGTCATAAGCGCTCATATATGTAAGTCTTTTATTTGTGAGTATTCGGTTCCGCACGACTGCATACGGCGGGTAGCGTTATTTTTACTCTCCGAGTGAGTGGCTAGGTTCCTTTTTCCTTGTAGGGAGCTCCCGGTGTCGTTAGTTAGATTCAGTAGGCTATTTTAGCGGAGGTAATTTCGATTTTGTATGAATGTGGTGCATCTGTTACGCACATCGAGTACGTATAACCAAAAATGGAGACGAAATAAGGGCCATTCATGATTGGCTACTCATCAAGCAAATCGGTGTTATATCACTTTTAAATATTAACTCTCGTTTGGGCTGAAATCATAAATTAGAAAGCTGAAATAGTACAACGCCAACAACTGACCTGCGTGTACGTATGCGTACATTCCAAAAATATTCTGTATGTATTGCAATAAAGATAATATCTCGGCTGTTCCATTCAGTGGCGTGGGAAAAACAGCAAAACATCTAATTAGTGTCTAATCATCATCTAGTACGTCGTAAATGTGTAGTGTGGCTTGAAAGGAAGGATATACATGTACCATTTCCTCGGGACTCAGTCGACGCCGATACAGGAACGACTGAAAATCAGCGTCTGTTTCGACCGAGACAGACATATTGCTGAGTCGTATCCTTTTCCTCGCTTAAGCCACTACGCACACTTACTAACTTAAATTAATAAGTCACTTGTTGTTTTCTTTTTAGTTGTAATTTTAGATATAGGTGTGTGTAGTGTTTCAATTCAGTGAATAAACTTCTTTCTTTCTTTCTTTCTTTCTTTCTTTCTTTCTAATTACAAAACAAACGGCATCACATTTCTTCGGTATATATTCGCCCATTATGGCAAAGCTCGAGCTAAACGACGACGCCCGTCACTTGTTTAAAAATTCGGGCTGCCCCATCGGAGCGCAGTCGTCACCGTAATGATTCGGCAATGAAACGAGTTTCCGTCTCTATTGCTGGTCGCGGTGGTGGTAACTACTAATCGCGTTGCAGCGGCATGGACCCCTGGTCGCGCGAGTGCGTGCGGCGCGGCGCGGGCGCGGCGGGGCGCGGGGGGCGCGCGCTGCTGCTGTCGACGCACGCGCTGGACGACGCGCGCCGCCTGGCCGCGCGCGTGGCGCTGCTGCGCGGCGCGCGGCTGGCGGCGCTGGCCGACCTCGACGCCTGCCTCGGCAGGTGCGTCTCTCGCTCTGCAGCTCGCGTATTTCTGGACCGCACCCGCAAGCCCGAAATCCGTTGGGACAGAGTGAACCCGAAAACGCTTTAGGCGCATCGACTGTGAACCGGCAACCGGTACTATCTCAATTTTGATAACTGAATGAAGATATTTCGTTGCGTCATTCTGACGCATCATCTGGTTAGTTAGTACGAGTTGAATGAAGTCGATTCTGGCGCCAAAATTAAATGTATCTCAAATGGAATTTCTCGAAATATTATAAAACGGTATTAAAAAGTTAAATCTTCAGAAAATTTAGACACTACCGGTTGCGAGTTCGCAGTCGATATGACATGATATTTTACTTTATTAACAGATCTACCAAATATTTTGCAAATCACATAATTTTCACAATATTTGATAAGTAATTGGAATATGTGTTTTACCAAATTAAAAATAAAACGACCTTGTTTGATAACTAATATCACCTCGGTCGACCGTGACAGCAGAACCTGCGAAGAGTCCGAAACGTTAATTTGAAAAAACAAATAGAAACCGGACATTTGTTTAATAAAAATAGTTTTCTTAATACTCAAATGTCCCAAGTTTCATTCAATTAATACTAGAGGTATAACTAGAACCTTCATAAATACTATATTATACATTTTTCTATGTATCCCGCTCAGTACAGCTCTTTGTACTTCCTTCTTTCGTTCAGTGTTGAAACCGAAGTATTTGATTTATCAGTGAAACTTTACAAACTAAGCCTAACATTTGAGAACCCGTGGCCGAAGAACGTACACGTCAATTTTCATGATATCGTTATCTCTGAAATCCCGGGTTCGATCCCTGGCCGGGTCAATGTAGAAAACTAACTTTACTATAACGATACTTCGAATGAACACTAAGCCAACTTTATTTTTTGGTCATACTAAGCTCCCAGAGTTTTGTGAAAAAAAAAAAGAAACAAAAACAAAATTCGAAAAAAATTAAAAAAAGAACTAATTTCGTCAAAAGAACTAAAGAAACAAAAACACAATAAAAACAGAACATGTCCAAAAATTAAGTTGGCGTAGTGTCTCGGGTTTGAGTATTTGTGGTACCGTAGTTTATTATTTTATTTGTGTACCAAAGCGACGTACATGATGCTGTCTAATATATACCTATTTATAACTAAATAGGTACAGCCAATAATAGAAATATTCTCAGGTTCGGCGGCGGCTTTGTGGTGGCGTGCCGCTGCCGCAGCGCGACGCGCGACGCGTGGCGGCGCGTCAAGCAGAGGGCGCCGCACGCGCAGCTCAAGGTGCTGCACCACAGCGTCATACACTTCCTGCTGCCCGTGCACGCCTCTGGTCAGTCCTTTTCACATTACGCTCCAGTTATACGATGTAATACAACCTGAACATCATACCTTTTTCATCACCCTTGCTCGTAAACAGTGTCATGACATGTAGGCAACGTTAAACATAATTTTAATACTTAATTTCATTTACGCTCGTGAAGAAATAGACTTCTCATAGATGGCGCTACTGCAAAGAAAGTCGTTAACTGCAACAAGCACATAGAAATTCATGAGTTCTTTCCGTGGCATAGTTGGCATAGCGTCTGGCACGGTTTGCTGGAAGACGTTGGTTCGAATCCAGCCGGATCAAAGGATTTTTCTAAGTTTACTGTAGACATGTGTACATATGTACCATATGCTATTTGAGGCGCAAACGTTCCTTATACAAAAGGTATATTATTTAGCATCCGAATGTCCAACCACTAATTATAACGGATTATCATGTATATAGTTTTGTAAATTTTTGTTCAAAGCAAATAAATATTTAGTATTAACCACCTAAGACCCAGCAAACTACAATTCGAAAAGCGCTAAACGCCTACTGTACATTAAAATGCAGTAAATATTCAACATGCTTCAGGCCTAGGCAAGTAGGTATACTCAAAATTTTTTATGAAAAAGTGTTTTTCTAGATACCCTATGGTCGTATAGAATATTGTATTATAACTTATTATAATTTAACTGCCTCTGTGGCCGAACGGTTACCGTGCCGGACTGCCACGCAGAGGTCCCAGATTCAATTGCCAGGCCAGGTGAAATATTTGTATGGCCTACATTTATTTATCTCGTAAGTTTGGGTGTAATTTGTGGTTGTCTATGGCTCCCGCGACACAGGGTTTCCTTAGTGAGGGGCTATGTTGAGTGTGTGCGTTATTATTATTAAACCTTCAAGCTGCCGTCCTCTAACTTAACGTGGCTAGTGACAAATATTTTTTTGAGATATCATAAAAAGCCATCACCCAGTTTTAGAATAATCAAATTGTATTATGATATTTCAATTATGCATCGTTAGGGTAAGTTCCGATAAGTCAAAAACATTAACTGTCTTTAAAAAATAATTTTGTGCTCTATCTTTTGCTACTTAAAACGGATATTTGACCATTTGCCATGCAGTCGCATTTTAGTTAGTGAACGGCAGATATGGGGTGGGCTATCGTTTGAATCGCAGCTCACAAACAGTCCAGATTAGAACCATCCGAAAATCTCCACCTGAACAAATTGTCGTTGCTCCAATCAACCTGAGTCCGATGCCAATTTAAAGACTTCCAGGTCGGCCATGGAATTTCGTGTTCAGGAGGAAGACTCTCAGAAGACGGAACAAATGTAGATGGTACTCTTTCTGGCCAAAGGTTGTACCTCGCCTGAGCTGGCTCAATGTTCAAAGGAACGGCACATTTGACAAAACTTTTCTGGCTCCTCGGCCTCTGTTGCACTGTGAAGTGATGAGAGTGATAGGGACCTTAGGATATTAAAATATTATTTTTAATAGAGTTGCTCAAAACGTGGTATTTTTCGTAGGTACTACAAATCGTGCCGAAAGTTGGATTTTTCGCACTAGTGCTTTTTACTTTTCCATTTTTTTTTAATTTGCTCTTGTTTCAAGTCTTAAACATAGAACTAAAGAGGTTGTATATTTATTTAATATTTATGTGCTTTGTGGCGTAAGTCATTCGTCATTAAAACTTATATTTACTTACAACCACCTTATTTGTTTAAATTGCATAGGTGTTTTATAAAACAACGGGTTACATTTAAAAATACCAAAATATTTTCCATAAAGATGGCTGATTGAGTATTAACATGACCGGAGGTGAGTATTACGCGAGACCGCTGCGCGCCGCGCCACTAAAATAGAAATTTTAATGTGGCTGAATACTGGCAACAGTTGCCATATTGAAAAAAGTCGGCCAAGAAATGAGTTTTTTTCTAAATACTGTCTTATTTTACTTTAAATGTAGTTTTTCCGCAAATGTATTAAAAAACGTCGTTTGAAACACGTGCGGATTTATCATTTTCACGTGTCTCGAGTCTTAGAAGAAACCTCGAGACTCGTGAACAATGACTAACTTTCCGCACTTGTATCAAAAATAACTATATTGAAATTGCAGTGAACAAGAAAGAAGTGACGACAAAGCTGAGCGACGTGTTTCGGCTGATGGCCGAGCTGCAGAGCACCTGCGACATCGAAGATTACACTGTCAACCAAAGCTCGCTTGACCAGGTCCGTCACGTTTATTTCAACATCCCTTTGGTTCCACATTTTTTTAATAAGTAAAAAAAGGTAGATTCATTATTAAGCAGCAGTAGAGCTCCTTGTGAAAGAGTGCTGTGCCCCTCAGATCTTTGCAATTTCAAGCTCTGAGTGGCACTGCAACTGTTATGGACAGGCGTGTCGCTTATCATCAGGCGCACGACTTGTTCTTCATAAAAAAAACAACCTTTGAGGTAGATGAAAGCTTGTTTTGTTTATGTACTGTTTTTGTTCTTGTGTTTGAGCAATAAAGTGTATATCAATCTATTTCCAGATGTTCCTAAGCTTCACGGAGAAAAGCGGGGAGGAAATGGAGCTGGTGGACATAGAGCCACTGCCTTCACCGACGCCCTTGCGTAGGGACAGCGCCGAACTAAGTGACATTACCTCGCTATGATACAAGGACTTTACATGTGTCAAACATTGTTCAATGGCCTAGAATACTTACTCTAGAATACGAAAGAAATTTACACTTAAGGCAACGACGCTCAAACTAATTATTCCTATTAGGCCATGTCACGTTATTCCCCTTAATTTACATTACCGTGGAAGGGATAATAAACTTTATGGTAATTGTGTAACGTAGAAAGTAATAAAGGACCTAAAAACAGTGGATCTACTGCTGTTCTGCGTCCCACATCCGTCCGAAACAATTACGAACTTAAATAATAAAGAAGAGCCAATTATAAGTCCTCACCGATAGACATACTTTAACTTGATTAATGAGCATTAAATTAGAACTATATAACTAATAGAGTTTGCTCATGGAAATTTTTATTTTTCTTAAACCATATTTTTCACAAAAAAAAATCCGGATATTTTTTCAATATTTTTCCTTTATTTTTTCACATTTGACGTTGACACCTGTCAAAAGTTAAAGTTACTGGACGAAAACGATGGCGCCATTAAAAAGGTTTTTTTTCGCTGTTATGAAATCATTTTAAATCTCGTTTATCTCTAGGTGGAGTCTTAGCTATACAAGTTTATTTTAAAATTCACGCTATATAAAACTTAAAATTTTTATCCTAATCGTAGAACAATAATATGAGCCGTCGAAATTATATTTTTCAAATTTTTCGGGAATTTTACCGGAAAAATTTTCTCTGTTTGAAATTTTTCGAAAAATAACCCAACATAACAATAATTAGTAACTACACTAAATAGGTAACATATTCGCAAAATGTAGTAATCACTTACTCGTCAAAAAGCAAACCACGAATAAAACGCTTTACCGGTGCAACACTAGTTTTAAAAAGGGCAATATCAACTTGCTTGGACAATATATTGAAGTTGTTACTTGCACACAAGAGATACGTTATAACAGACCGGAGGTACACACAGAAGTAAATTAAACCTAAGGGTCTTTGTAGGGGCTGTAAGAGAAATCTTGGACACGAGTTACGGGAGTCCAAGGCACAAGAAGCAATTTTTCGTAAAAATACTAGGTCTGCAATCTGACGTCGTACCCCTAATGACAAAAGATGATATTTCTTACAAATATCAAGATACCGGTTTGACTCGTACCAGTCCCTTGTCAATTCGTGACATATTCTTTCATTCGCATTATGCTTCTTTCAAATTAAACTTTAACTTGAGTAGAACGGGAATAAACCCCCAGGTGGCCGTATCGTAATTTGTACTTTAATTTGTACTAAAATTAATTATCCTATATACAATTTCGTTACTTACATTCACTTCTATGCCGTGGCAATGCAAATTTAGCCTCCCCCGATTCAAGAATAATACATTCTTTGGCTCAGTTTTAAGGGAACAACACGTTTTTGGTTAGGCAATCGCTGATAGTAACTTGCACGTTCCTTACAAAATCATAGAACTAATAGCTAATACCTTCTAAAGCTAAAGTCTACCCCCGGGCATGAGTTGCAGTGGTCAGTCAATATGGAAATCCCTGAACCGGGTCAGGGGGCCTATTCCCGTTCTCCGTCCGATATGCATCATCCGACGTACGGATGCACCCGTCCGAAACAAACTGTCAAATAAGAAATAATCGACCAAGTGAAAAGGGTAACCTATCCCAAAGTCGACAATTATTTGTTCGAATTTTCATTACACCGAAAACCGAATTATAACGAAATAGTTGTTCTTTCAGGATATGTTGAATGTTTATCGCAAATACACGATTAGGTTCGGTTAGGTTAGGTTAAGTTAGGTTTAAAAGAAAAAAACATTGTCCTCTCAAAATTACTTTCGAGGTTATGAAATTTCGACCAAACATTATTTCTGGAAAATGTCATTTCTTATTACTGATATGTAACCAGTTAAATGTCAAGTATGAAGCTTTATTCGTATCGTACGTCTTTTAATTTGGTAGAGTTCTGAGCTTTGGTAGAGCTTCTTTGACCGTAATTGTTTCGGATGATGTCCGACAGAGAACGGGATTGGACCGCCTGGTTACAAGTCGGCCGATGTAGACAACATGGGGATATATCAACCCAACTCAAAACCATTGTGCTTGTGGATACGGTGTCCGACCAGCTGCACCCGTGAAGACCTGCTAAAGGCAACAGATAAGGGGCGTAAAAGTGGCTGAGTCAAAGAACTTTGTCACTGACTCGACAAGAAGAAGCATCTCAAAGCTTCAGTGCAAGTGTCAGGCGACGTATACTGCCGTCCACTAACTAAAACGAGGCTAAGTGACAAATGGTCAAATATCCGTTTTAAATAGCAAAAGATAGCACAAAATTCTCTTTTAAAAACAATTAAAATTAAAGGTTTCGTATGATATCTCAAATTATTTTGTCATTTGGCCGTGTTGTATAGTTAGCGGACGGCGGTTTAAGAAATATCACTTTTTTTGAAATTATTTAGTTAATTTTTATTTTTGTAGATATAGTCTTGTGCAAAAATTAGTTTGATTATAGCACAACGGTGACGGTGTAAGAGATAATGTTTGCGTACAAATTTGGTCCACGGGGAGATCAGAAACTGTCCGATGCTATCGTAAATTTAACGCATCATTGGCAAACCACGACTGCTTGGACAAAAGTAACTATTCCGAGTACAAAGTAAATTCTTATCTATGGTCGTAACCATAGACCAATAAGTGAAGAGGCTTGCTAATCTCCATACTACAGAACGTAACTCTTTGTGCAAAAAAAGTTCAAAATCCCATCTTATATTCAGATGGCGCTGATCACTAGCCTGGATGTAGTTTAAAGTGACTGTGGATATCAATTAATTCTTCTTTAATATGAAAAATAAGCGGTCTGTTTTTTTTCCCTTGTAATATTATTGAAACATGAGTTAAAATTATTTTCGGAACTTTAACAAGTAGGTATGCTTATCAAGATGGCATTATGTGTTACACTGGCGCTAATTCTGAACAAAATAAAAAAATTGCATTATCCATAAAAATGTACGCAATAAGCGCCATCTAGTTGATCAAAATCAAAATAATCCTTATTTCATAGGTAAGCATTATTACACTTGAAATCATTACATTGGTTAAACTCTACAGATGGTTAAACGGCAGATTTCCCTGAGAAGAATGAGCAAGAAACTCTAGGGGTTGCTCTTTGTAAATAACATTTACAATATTTTTTTTTATTTGAAACATCAGAGATCGAGACTACCTTCATGAGCTAAACGGGTTACTACCACGGATTTTTGTCATCCAAGTACGCAGAAGTTGTATAATAATCTTTAGCATAAAGTTTTTGTTTCATTATAGTTTTAACCCACGTAAATGGCAAATTTTGTATATCAACCGGAATCTTGTTATAGAAGCGTATACATTGCCCCTTAAATGAATTCGTCACTTTGTGAAGACAACTATCAAGAACAGCTAGTTTATTTTTGTTTCTCGTGTTAATGTTATGTCTGTCACTATTTTTCATAAATAAATTACTATTCCTCTTAACATAAATTACATTTTCATAGAAGAATATTATTTTCCTTAAACTTATCTCTCAAAGATACTCTGGGGCCCAGATTGTAAATTGCCCCAACCGCACGTTTCTGCAGGACAAAGATTCTATTAATATCGGCGGCATTACCCCAAAGCAAAATGCCGTATGTCATTGGACTGTGAAAGTAGCTGAAGTAAACCAATCTAGCGGTTTCGATGTCTGAAAGCTTCCGTATTTTTTATTCGCGTACACTGCAGAGCTGAGCCATTTTGATAACTTACTTGTATGTCGACCCCATTGCAATTTAGCATCTAACGTTATACCTAGAAATACAACTGTATCCACAGATTCGATTTTTCGTTTCTAACTACAATGTTTGTAACCGTCTCTCTAACATTGGGTAAACAGCAAACCAATCAACTACTTTAGATATAGTATACATGATATGTTTGTTATCACTAAAAATACCGCGATTACCAGTCCTCTCGCCTTATTGGTCCATGCCTTAACATATTTTGGTGGATAAATAGTTGCATTAGAGAAAAAGGTACTTATTATCTCGTAGTCACAAACTACCGTCTTTTGCCTGTAATTTTATATCGTCGAATTTTAGTTATAAACTAACATTAACATAAGAAACTATGTCTGAGATAAATATATTTATGTTGCCATAGTTAATAGTGCAATTTTTTTACATTGTTAATAGATAATTCAAATATCGACGATAGCAGTCGGCGGACATGTTTTTTTTAGATTCTTGTAAAATTTTATATACATATATACTTAGAATAATAACACATAGAAACCTAGTCCGCACACGCTAAGTGAGGCAAATTGAAGCGCGCCAAAAGGGCCTACACGAGCGGGCGGGTCTTCAGTGCTCAAGGTCAACTTGCACCGCGAACAGATTAAGAATTTTAGCTAAAACACACGATATGTGCGAAAAATGAGTGTAAAAATACGTCAGACAAACACAAAATAGATACTAACATCACATTCCACAAGGAAGTAACGCGTTTCAACTTGTATTTTTATATAAATATTCACTAAAACCGAAAATTAACCTACTACTAAAACTAGCCTTCATGAATTTGATTTTTGCCTCACTTGTGACAGTTCGTTTGATATGAAACTATCATTCTATGCGTTATTATTCTAAGCATATATATATATATATATATTAAGCATATATATACACATATATATATATATATTTATTTACAAATAACTGTCATTTTTTTATTGTATATATTATATAGGACAGACTTTTATAATGATACAAATCACACTTTTAGAATAAATATTACCTAATACCTACATAATTCCAACTTTTTGGGATTAAACGCAGGCCACATCGCAAACGAAGCTAAGCTAACGTAGCTTAGCCCACGTAGTCGGGGTATCTATTCATACTTCGGTTCACACCGCGTCTTTTTTTTTCTTTCCGGGGAAAAATCCGTCATGGATACCACCGCGTCACGGGGAGCCGCGGTGATTATGTGAGACTCCTACTCACTAAAAACCCCCGGATATTCCCACACTCCGCATGAAACGTGGCTGTGTCCACGTGGTTTACGGTTCACGGCCCCGACGGTTGCCCGCGACTGCGGACCTACATCTGGGAGACTTTACCGTCCCCACTCCGTCGTTAGTGGAATTAGTGGCAACCCGGGAACCCTTATCCATTAAGTGACAAAGCCCACGTTTTGCCACTCAGGGTTCACTGTCACTGCCACCTCCTTCCGCGACAATATATCGGTGCAGAAGGAGACCA